GTAACATCAGTGTCTTACATGTATCAACCATTGTAACCTATAAATAGTAACATCAGTGTATTACATGTATCAACCACTGTAACCTATAAATAGTCAACTATTGTAACCTATAAATAATAACATCAGTGTATTACATGTATCAACCATTGTAACCTATAAATAGTAAGATCAGTGTATTACATGTATCAACTATTGTAACCTATAAATAGTAAGATCAGTGTATTACATGTATCTCCAGTTGTAACCTATAAATAGTAACATCAGTGTATTACATGTATCAACCATTGTAACCTATAAATAGTAACATCAGTGTATTACATGTATCAATCATTGTAACCTATAAATAGTCACCTATTGTAACCTATAAATAGTAACATCAGTGTATTACATGTATCTCCAGTTGTAACTTATAAATAGTAACATCAGTGTATTACATGTATCAACCATTGTAACCTATAAATAGTAACATCAGTGTATTACATGTATCAACCATTGTAACCTATAAATAGTAACATCAGTGTATTACATGTATCAACCATTGTAACCTATAAATAGTAACATCAGTGTATTACATGTATTAACTATTGTAACCTATGAATAGTAAGATCAGTGTATTACATGTATCTCCAGTTGTAACCTATAAATAGTAACATCAGTGTATTACATGTATCAACCATTGTAACCTATAAATAGTAACATCAGTGTATTACATGTACCAACCATTGTAACCTATAAATAGTCACCTATTGTAACCTATAAATAGTAACATCAGTGTATTACATGTATCTCCAGTTGTAACTTATAAATAGTAACATCAGTGTATTACATGTATCAACTATTGTAACCTATAAATAGTAACATCAGTGTATTACATGTATCAACCATTGTAACCTATAAATAGTAACATCAGTGTATTACATGTATCAACCATTGTAACCTATAAATAGTAACATCAGTGTATTACATGTATCAACTATTGTAACCTATAAATAGTAAGATCAGTGTATTACATGTATCTCCAGTTGTAACCTATAAATAGTAACATCAGTGTATTACTGTACATGTATCAAACATTGTAACCTATAAATAGTAACAACTGTGTATCACATGAATCAACCATTGTAACCTTTAAATGGTAACATCATTGTATTACATGTATCAACTATTGTAACCTATAAATAGTAACATCAGTGTATTACATGTATCTCCAGTTGTAACCTATAAATAGTAACATCAGTATATTACATGTATCTCCAGTTGTAACCTATAAATAGTAACATCAGTGTATTAAATGTATTCCCAGTTGTTACCGATAAATAGTCACCAATTGTAACCAAGAAATAGTAACATCAGTGTATTACATGTATCAACCATTGTAACCTATAAATAGTAACAACTGTGAATTACATGTATCAACCATTGTAACCTAAAACTAGTAACATCAGTGTGTTACATGTATCAACCATTGAGGTATCAACTAAATAAGTAAATTTGAATAATAACCATCAAGGTGTTTATACTTTCAGAATCTCAAAGGTAACACAATCTTGACAGTCTTCACTGACCTTTTTTACCCAATGCATTCATTTCCATGCTTCATATAACTCCTCGATCAAAAATGACAATTGAATAACCTAAGGTAATGAATTATCAAAGTATTGCATATCAAAGTACTGAAAACTAGTGCTTATTGTAACGGGAACCGTTACAGATGTTCCCCAAACGCTCCCCAACTCCCTTTTCGTGCCATATTCCCTGTAAGGTTCATTAAATAAGACAAAAACTTTTGCATTTGAGACTTTAACAACGCCAAGTTATTCAAATTTTAGCATTGCACACCTGCACATGTGAATGCATGTGCATAATGACCATATCATCTTGTCTACACAATCTATGCATATTTTATATTAAAGTATTTAATCCAAAAGTATTAAAAAATACGCTCATTCAAGTATATTTTTATTTAACTCATTTCACGTGCACGCACGTGCATATATGAGCATGGTGACCATATCTTCTTGTAGAAGTCCATTACAAATATCTATGTTCTAAATCCCATCCTGTTTGGTTGAAAACCAAGGGAGTTATAGCTGTTTAAAGTTTCAGCCAATCAGATTACAGCGCACGTACATGCACGTGTATGCATGTGCATGGTGACAATAGCTTCTTGTAGAAGTTCATTATATCTATCTATGTTCTAAATCCCATCCTGTTTGGTTGAAAACCAAGGGAGTTATAGCTATTTAAAGTTTCAGCCAATCAGATTACAGTGCACGTACACGCACGTGGATGCATGTGCATGGTGACCATACCTTCTTGTAGAAGTTCATTATATCTATCTATGTTCTAAATCCCATGCTGTTAGGTTGAAAACCAAGGGGGTTATAGCTATTTAAAGTTTAAGCCAATCAGATTGCAGCGCACGTGCATGCACGTGTTTTCATGATAATTGCTATATTTCATGTTGTAGGGTATCTTAATGCATGGCTATGTTCAAAATTTCATAGAATTTCGTCGAAAAACAGAAAGTTATTGAGACTTTAGTTTCAGCCAATCAAAGCGAAGTGTACGTGCATGCGCGTGAGATCTTTCTATTTTGACCATGTCATATTGTCTATGCCACTAATATATCCTTATATTATGAGTTTCAAAGCATTTCATCAAAAATGTAAAAAGTTATGCCGATATCAATTAAATCGGTCATTTTTCATGTTGCACGTGCGCGCTCTTGCAAGCACGTGCGCGCAAAATGACCTTTGTTCGGCAAATCTACATAACATGTCTACTGACCCTAAAAACATTTTACCTTACTCGGATGTGTTGTTTACAAGATCACTCGTGGACAAAATTTTCCCAGGAATAATAATAATAACTAGATACAATCTCGTTGCGAGCAACGAGAAGTCTTCCGTCCGATTCAGGAAAAAAACCTCGTAAAATTAAGCTGAAAAGTGATTCAAAATTTTGGTCACAAGGAGGATTGAACTAAGGTCGCCAACGTGAATGCACTTTTTTCCTCTTTTATCCCAACGCGCATACTATTATGCTATAATTTGGAGCACCGCTCTAAATATACTTTTGTATACTTTTGCAACAGTACATTTGTCTAAGATTTATAAAAGGCGGACCACTATTCATAATTTCGCGCTAAACGCCACGAGTAAATATTCGCGCCTTTTCTTTGGACTGATCTATTAAATAGGTGTGATAGCTTCAATGAAATTAAATAAATAAAACGTTCTTATGGCCTTTATTTTATTTCGAAGTTAAGAAAGTATATTTAACACATTGTACACATTACATATCGTATCTAGCCTAGTTACACTAAAGCAGTGAAACGGAAATTAAGTTTCAAGATTGGCACTCAATCGCAACGTACTACTACGTGAAAGTCCAGGTAATTTTTCACATTTCATGTATCCTTATGTCAGAATGGTTCAATCAAACGCTCAGCTGCCTCCATAAACCCCTACTCGCGAAATGGCGGAGTAGACAGAGACAGCCGCCATCTTGGGCCCGCTTCAGATTTTCAAATATTAATATCTAGAGTTCAGATTAACCAATACTAAAACAACTTATATAGTAAGCATCAATGGAAAGGTCACTATTAATATTCCAAAAATAAATGAAAAATATTGAAGAACAAAAAAGTTAGAAAATGCACTTTTTTAAATTCGCATCTCCTAACGACAGAAAGTATTGACGACGAACGAAAGGTCGCGTCCTGGATAGTGAATATCACGATCTATAATCCCTGAAAGTTTCATGTTGATATCTTCTACCGTTCTTGAGATTAACCGTAGACAAAATGTCATTTTAAATTCAGAAAATGTCCCGTAACTTGGCACCAGAAGAGAATTTTCAAAAAATCTCTCGGAAAAAATAACTTCAGGTAACAATTAACACATAATTTCTGTAAATTTCATGAAAATCCACCCAGTAGTCTTCGAGAAATCGCGTGCACAAAATTTAGTGTACGGAAAAATAATAATAATAATAATAATAATAATAATAAGAAACAATAGAATCACTATAAGGTCTTCCGTGAAGACGGAAGACCTTAACTAGAAACGATCTCGTTGCGAGCAACGAGAGGTCTTCCGTCCGATTCTTAAATAAAAATCGAAAAATCTAGCAGAAAAAGTGATAAAAGAAATTTGATTCTAAAAAAATTTTACATATTACTCATTTGCAAATGAGTCTCTATTTAGATTAAAAACACCGTAGAAAAATATTGAAAAACAAAAAATTTGAAAACTTGCATTTTTTAAATATGCTTCCGGCAGAAACCGGAAGTGCTGACGACACACGAAAAGGCAATTCTGCAAACCACAAAGTCATAATCTATCATCTCCAATAAGTCTCCAGTTCATATCCTCAGCCATTTTCGATAAAAGTGCGCGACAAAATTGCATTTTAAAATCAGAAAATTGTCCATAACTTGGCACCGGAAGCGAATTTTCCAAAATAAATTATCGACTGCACAAGTTCATGTAATGACGCATATTTTGTGAAAGTTTCGTTGAAAACCGCCGAGTAGTTTTCGAGAAATCGCGTGCACAAAATTTTGTCAAAAAAAAGAATAATAATAATAAGAAACAGTAGAATCACTATAAGGTCTTCCGTGAAGACGGAAGACCTTAATAATAAGAAACAGAGTAAAAACAATATGTTCCCCAACTTCGTTTGGGGAACATAATTAATTATAATACATGTATAGAAACCTTTTCTTAAGAGAAATAAAATACTCAGCATTGCAAAAGAAGGGCACCACAAATGAGATTATCCCACACAAAAGAGCATATTGATCCAGATGTAAATTTTATTATTTCCACATAATTATTAAATTAGCAAGCACTGGTTCACCCATCCACACACTCAAAAGTGCATTACTCTGCATGTATATCCCCTCCAATTCCACTGCAAGGGGATAAAAAAACTCAAGCGTGAGAAAACCCCAAAGACGTACAGTAGTGGGAGCAAAAACTCTTCCCAAGAATGTATAACAACTGTTCTCATACCAGAACATTGATTGATTTACTCCGAGTCTTACCCACAAAGAGAGCAGCATTGCTCTTGATCTCGGGCCAGAGGCTTTTAAAGAAAGAGACGCATCCCATCACATAAAAGTTAATTTTGTCTGGAAATTCTTCTATCTACAAATGAAAATACAAAACAAAACAAAATCAATAAAATGACCTCAGTTCATATTTTTAATCGAAAGTCATAATATTTAAACTGACAGTTTAATATTTAAGAATCCTTTATATCAATCAAGAATATTCCGTTTACAAAAATCCTGAAAATGGGGTACATGTACATGTATATTTTATACAAATAGTATTCAAAAAGGGTAGAAAATTTAAATGTAAGGAACCCACAAGTGTTCAGATTTAAGAAATAAATCTTTTTTCCATGCTTTTTTGATTGGTTGAGTGATAAAATATTTTACACTACTAAAATATGATCATTTGTCTTTAATGAAAATTTTCAACAGGTTGCATATTTTTGTTACAAACAATTTCATTCATTATCGCTATACTTTCTCTCAATATCTGCACCCTTTGGAAATTTTTAATGTAGATCACATTTCTCACTAAAATTCTGGATGAAAATGATAGTATTTAATCTATTTATGGAAAAGAAAAATCATTTGATCTAGCTACCCTTTTCATTGTTAATTATTATATTTTTTTTGTGATAATTCTGTACACTGTAAATTACACGTAGTCTACATTAAAATTTCTGTAATTAATATACTCTGACTATTTTCACAAATTCAGATTTTTGTTTTAAATATCAGTCAAAAATGATGCAAAAGCATGTGATATTTTTATATAAGCTAAAAGAAAAATTTTAAATATTAGATAAAAAATACAATATGGTTGAAAACAGGATACGAGATGAAATTATGAAGAGAAATGTTTTTATAGCAAATCAATGCTTTTTCAAGTATACCATGAGTTTAGCAAGGTCATTTAGGAATTCTCCATAGATAAGGTTAGCATCCTCCAGTAGGTGGCGCTGGAATTTGCTGTTAATGGCTTCTGACCCCATTAGAGGGCCTAATAACCTCAGTGAGAATTTACAAGCCTACAAAAGAAGAAAATCAATAAAAGCACTGTAAAGAATATCAAAGGTATGTACCACTTCTGTCTGATTTGACCAATGATCTGACCTTCTTGACCTCTATCTCGGGGTCATTCAGATGGAGAAGAAGACTGACTAGATTGCTATGGATTTGTTCTAGGAAAGGAGCTTTTGAGGGACCATCTCCAAAGCGGGAAAGATTTCCAAATAAAATAATAGCTTGAGCTCTCACAGCTGGCTTTTCCTACAGAGAATGAAGAAGAGATTAAGTACACATACTATAAATAACACAATAAGAAATATTAATGTCTTTTAAAAAGTTGGAAATAGAATCTTACTACATGTATTTTAGAATTGTTGAAAATAGAAACTTATTGGTATTTTAGACCTGTTGAAAATAGAAACTTATTGGTATTTTTGAACTGTTGAAAATAGAAACTTATTTTAGAACATGATATTAACGTGGGTTTATACCTTTTCAAAACATGGGCGGATTTTAAGAGAGACGTTGATAAGAATAGCACGGATGTGGCTTTCCTCGATTTCACACAGTATCCGTGACAACCCACTCATGGCTTCTGTAGTGATGTCATCATCTGGATCTTCCTTATCATCCATTCCCGCCATCATGGCAGACAACACGGTCGTAGAGTATTTTTTGACCTAGATAAAATACATTGAATTCTAATAAGCTATTCAAAATAAGAATTCTAATGCATAATAAAACATTATACCATATACCCCCCCCCCCAAAAAAAATGTTAACCTACCAGATTTTGGCTGATGCTAGCTATGCTTACTCACCAGTTCTGAGCTGACACTAGCTATGTTTACTTACCAGTTCTGAGCTGACACTAGCTATGTTCCCGAGTCCTCTGATACACAGCATACGGACTTTGTGTGAAGAATCCACCAATCTTCCCAACAAACTATTCATTACCAGCTCTACTAGGTCTGCATTATCCATACACTTCTGGTTAATTAGCTAGAAATAAAGAGAAACATAATTAATCTTTTTTGAAGTAGAACCTACTAGACAGTATTATCTATTTATGAGAACAATGAGTCCATAATCATCATTAAGAAGAAATCTGGAGACAAGCTCAAAGGTCTAAAGAAACAAAACAAAACCAGAGCAAGACAAACAAGACCTCTCAAACCATCAGAGGTGGGATCAGGTGCCATGGAGGAGTGAGCATCCCTTGCTGACCGACCACACAAGTCTTATGCTCAATGTCAGATCCAGTAAACAGAAAATCTAGCAATAATTCAGTGTGTAAATAATGGTCTAACAATGAGTATGAAAAATTTCAGCATTCGACTCAATAATAAATTGTATTTGCTGACAAGGTCATTGAATCACAATAGAATAACATGTTATACAATATGGAAAAGGCGTTGAAGAAAAATGTACCATTTTTCAATGTTACAATAAGAAATCAAATAATCATGTACTCAAATGCACAGAAAGAAAAGTTTTCATTCCATTTGTCTGCATGTCCTCCAGTTTATTTGCCAGTAAACTACAACAGTCAGACACCAAATTCAACATTTTTATCGGAACCATCTCCATTCATAAAAATAACCTCAGTCTAGACTTTGAAAGGGATCAGGTGAATATGGTGAAATGGTCGAATTTTTTTTTTTCCAAATTCCATTTAAGATCTGTCTTAGATCTGCCAGCCCAAGTGGTAAGGAAACCCCAAAAAAGTTGTAGACATGAAATCAAAATTAGTTAGGAAAATAGCTACATCATGATCAGAAAGGTTAATCGGTGAAGATATCTAATCTCCAAGTGCCCTCATTAATGTGCCTCATACATTGCTCACAGAAGAGAAAAAATTACCTCCTCTAAGAATATTCTTATGAAATTAATTTTACACAATTTTCTTGATAATTACCCAGTATGATAATTATGCAAAGTTAGCTTACCTCAGCAAAAAATGCTGCCACCACAACTCTCTGTGGATCGTACAGACTAGACAAGGCGGAGGTCAGGGAAGCCACAATCTGAGACACATGTGGGGCTGCCACACTGCTAGAAACTAAGGCCCTGTAAAAAACCACAAATCTCTGAGGGGACTGTACCTCTACTTATTGTGATATTCAACAAGAGTTGTGGTAATTTTTCATGTAGTACATTGGGAAAGAAAAGGTTATACATGTAAAACATTATAGGTTTGAATTTTTCCCTTTTTTTCAAAGTTACTGTCAAACATACAAACTTATATAGGGTGAATTCACCATACATCGGACACATACCTTGCTTTGGACAACTTTACAGAATAAACTCCCTTTCAACTTAAGTGTTCCGTGTATTTAATTTGTTTCTGTCTTGAAGCTGAGGATTTAAATTTTTTAATGATACCGATTGTAATTATCATGTTGTGATAAAATACCCTAAGAATGGCCTTGAAGTTACGTAATTTTTTACATCATCAAAGGGGAATAACCAAAAATTTATGATTTTTTTATTTTTAGAGTTATCGTTCTTTAAATTCGACTTCAACGGAACGATTCAGACTTCGGTGAATTTTGTCAAAGATTGGTAATTCTACATAAATTTTAAAGAAATTTCGCTTCAATGTTCGTATAATTCTTTTTAGAGCTGGTTTTTACTAGTACGTTCATTTCTCCAAACATCGGACACAAATTAACCATGCATCGGACACTTTCCGATGCAAAGGTAAGCACTACCATTTTCATACAGAACCCAACTGACAGCTGTTTTTTGTGGAAATAAAAATAACAAGAGGCCCATGGGCCACATCGCTCACCTGAGTAACTTGGGTGATGCAGTTCTTTACCAGATTTCTCCTCTTGCTCTACCTATCGTACCCCACTACCCTCTTCCCTTTTATGATTTTAATACTTTAGACTCTACACTACCCCAAGATGCTTCAACACAAGTTTCAGCTTTCCTGGCCCAGTGGTTCTTGAGAAGAAGATTCTAAAAAGATTATTCCTAAATACAGTGTATATCTATGTAAAACTTGAATTCCCTATTGTGGCCCCGTCCTACCCCCGGGGGTCACGATTTTAGCAATTTAATATCTACACTACCCAGGGATGCTTCCACATAAGTTTCAGCTTTCTTGGCTCAGTGGTTCTTGAGAAGAAGATTTCCAAAATTTTGTTCTATATATTTCTATGTAAAACTTGGATTCCCTATTGTGGCCCCGCCCTACCCCCGGGGGTCATGATTTTAACAATTTAATATCTACACTAACCAAGGATGCTTTCACATAATTTTCAGCTTTCCTGGCTCAGTGGTTCTTGAGAAGAAGATTTTTAAAGATATGTTCTATATATTTCTATGTAAAACTTGGATTCCCTACTGTGGCCCCGCCCTACCTCCGGGGGTCATGATTTTAACAATTTAATATCTACACTATCCAGGGATGATTTCACGTAAGTTTCAGCTTTCCTGGCTCAGTGGTTCTTGAGAAGAAGATTTCCAAAATTTTGTTCTATATATTTCTATGTAAAACTTGGATTCCCTATTGTGGCCCCGCCCTACCCCCGGGGGTCATAATTTTAACAATTTAATATCTACACTATCCAGGGATGCTTCCACATAAGTTTCAGCTTCCCTGGCCCAGTGGTTCTTGAGAAGAAGATTTTTAAGAATTTGTCATATATATATATTTTTATGTAAATCTTGGATTCCCTATTGTGACCCCGCCCTACCCCCGGGGGTCATGATTTTAACAATTTAATATCTACACTACCCAAGGATACTTTCACATAAGTTTCAGCTTTCCTGGCCCAGTGGTTCTTGAGAAGAAGATTTTTTAATGAACCCACCCTATTTTTGTCTTTTCTTGATTATCTCCCCTTGTAAGGGGACTTGGCCCTTCATTTTAACAATTTAACTCCCCTTTACCCAAGGATGCTTTAATTGTACCAAGTTTGGTTAAAATTGGCCCATTGGTTCTTGAGAAGAAGTCGAAAATGTGAAATGTTTACAGACGGACGGATGGACGGACGACGGACAAAATGTGATCAGAAAAGCTCACTTGAGCCTTCGGATCAGGTGAGCTAAAAACTGTATATTTTTAGTCAAAATACAATTTATTGGTATATGACGTCTAGAATTTGACTCAATTTATTTCTAAAAACTAGAATAGGATAAACCATGAGAAAAATGCACGAATTACCGCATTACAAGCATTTTAAAGCATTTGTAAGGCAGAGTGAGGTATCTTGAATCGTTCTACATTTGTGCAACGATATCGTCAATTAAATTAAAGTTGAGGGTAATTTCTTAGATAAAAGATAAAAATATATCCATATCAAGGACTTTAAAGCACTGTGATAAAGGTATGATATTTTCGCGGTCCAAATACCATCTTTCCAATGCATGGTAAATAATATCCGATCCATGGTGAATTCTGGGTTATTTTTAAAAACTCGATTTTTGAGGATATTTTCTCAATAAAAGGCTATAATTGTGTCCCAAATTTATATTTTAATCACATACTAAATGTTAAGCTCCATTTTGATAATTTTACGTCAGTAGCTATATCGCTAGAACTTGTTGAAGTACAAGGGTGTCAGATGCATGGTGAATTCACCCTAATTGAAATGGTAATAGTTTTAGTAAATGTTATTTTAGCTTCCATAGCAAAATGAATGACCTTGATAGGATTTTAATAATATCTTTACCAATTATCCTGAACTGTATGAATGACCTCGGTTCAAGCATTTCAAAACTTGGCCAAAAAAGTCATACTTATTACCGTGTGAGTATTGTAAAGGCCTCCGGATAATTTTCCTCCTCCTCAAACTTTTCCCAGCATTCCTCTTCCGTCAGAATCTCAATGACGTCGGTACTCTTTGTTCTCACCAGGAAAGACCTGAAGGTTTCTACAGCTGTCCTGAAATAAAATCATTCTTTATAATCCAGTATGTCAAAACACAGCAAGTATGGGCATTACTTTATGATTTTGCAGTATATACTGGTATAAAGTAAAAATGTCTGGAACAGCTTAAATCCAAGTTGAAAGAATTTTCTATACATCCACTGATGTTTTCTAATTCAGAAAAAAATGTAATACTGTCAAGAAAGGCCTTGTCTTAATTTGATACAAATATAAAGAACTTGAACACTTTTATGTGTCCTTGATCTTTTTTTCTTTTAATAATGACTTACTTGCTTGGTTCAGGATTTTTACTGGTTACAGGTACTGGTTTCTTCCCTTTAGATTTGTCCTCTTTTTCCATCTACAATAAATTATTTGTTCATTCTACATCCTTGTAAAAATAAGAATCAAAACAAAGTGTACGTAACCTATTATTTCAACATATGCCTCTTTTATTTCGGCTGTGTCTGTGTAGGCCATAAGCTAGAAAAATTTTATGTCATAATAACACTGTACTGATAACATTAATTCCTCTTAATTTTGAATCCTTATCCACATAAATATTTTTATGGCAACTTGATTTCAATGGGGGGTGTCAAAATCTCTCTAGAACTTTATATGTCTTTTTGAAAACCAAAATGAAAGTTGTATGATATAACAAGAGGCCCAAGGGCCTTGAATCGCTCTTCTGATAAATTGTACAATCTATCACTTCTATTACAACTAAGAAGCCTCCAAAATGCATTAACTTACAAAGTTTGATAATATTTAGCCAGTTAAGACTGAAGATATTATAATAAAATTATAAAATACCATAAGTAGGTCACAGTGACCTACCTTTTGATTGAAATTTTCTGAGAACTCAAGATACAGTAATTGACAAAGACTGATGATTCTAATTAAATAAGTACCTGAGATATTCAAAAGTAGGTCACCATGACCTACTTTTTGGTCAACATTCTCTGAAAACCCAAGATGCATCAGCTGATAAAGTTTGACGATTCTAAGCCAATTAGTACCAGAGATAATAAAATATAGCCATCAAATGTCAAAAGTAGGTCGCGGTGACCTACTTTTTGGTCGACGTTATCCAAAAACCCAAGATGCCTAAACTGACAAAATTTGATGATTCTAAGCCAATAAGTACCTGAGATATTCAAAAGTAGGTCACCATGACCTACTTCTTGTTGGACATTCAATAAAACCCTAAGATGCCTCAACTGACAAAGTTTAATGATTCCAAGCCAATAAGTACCAGATATAATGAAATATAGCCATAAAATGTCAAAAGTAGGTCACAGTGACCTACTTTTTGGTCGACGTTCTCCGAAAACCCAAGGTGCCTAAACTGACAAAGTTTGATAATTCTAATCTGATACGTACCTGAGATATTCAAAAGTAGGTCACCGTGACCTACTTTTTGGTCGACATTCTCCGAAAACCCAAGATGCATCAACTGACAAAGTTTAATGATTCCTAGCCAATAAGTGCATGAAATACTTAAATATAGCCATAAAATGTCAAAAGTAGGTCACTGTGACCTACTTTTTGGTCGACATTCTCTGAAAACCCAAGATACCTAAACTGACAAAGTTTGATGATTTTAGGTCAATAAGTACCAGTGATACTTAATTATAGCCACAAAATGTGAAAAGTAGGTTACCATGACCTACTTTTTGGTCGTCACTCTCCGGAAACCCAAGATGCATCAACTCACAAAATTTGCTGATTCTAAGCCTATAAGTACCGGAGATACTTAAATAGAGCCATAAAATGTCAAAAGTAGGTCACTGTGACCTACTTTTTGGTCGTCACTCTCCGAAAACTAAATATGCATCGACTCACAAAGTTTGATGATTCTAAGCCAATAAATACCTAAGATACTTAAATATAGCCATAAAATGTCGAAAGTAGGTCATCGTGACCTACATTTAGGTCGACATTTTTAAAAGACCCAAGATGCATCTACTGACCAAGTTTGATGATCGTAGGTCTGAAGGTAATCAAAATATGTGTTTAAAACAATTTGAAAACAAATGTTGGCAAAATTCAAAAAGTAGGTCACAGTGACCTACTTTTTCATAAATATGTTTTAAGTTCCCAAGATGCATCAAAGTACAAGATTTGATGATTCTAAACCTCCCAGTGTCTGATATAATGGGATTTAATTCTTTAAAAAGGATAAATCATAAAGTTCAAAAAGTAGGTCACGGTGACCTACTTTTAAGTTGACATTGTTCGAGGACCCAAGATGCATCAACTGACAAAGTTTGATGATCATAGGCCTTAAATTGTCCAAAATATGCCTTCAAATCAATTTGAAAACAAATCCTCGCAAAATTTAAAAAGTAGGTCACCGTGACCTACTTTTGAGTTAACATGATGTGAAGTCGTAAGATGCATCAACTTACAAGATTTGATGATCCTAGTCCTTATAGTAAACAAAAAATACATGTTTTCATTAATTGTAAATTTAGGTCAACTTTGAAGTGACCTTGAGACCACGCCCTTTGCCCCAAGGTAATCCCTCGTGCAAATTTTAATCTTCGACATATCCTGATCCTTGTATGTAAGTTTGGTGAAAATCTGCCTGGTGGTTATGGAGAAGAAGATTTTTTAACAATCAGTACTTTTGGTTTTCTTTTCCTGATTATCTCACCTTGTTTTAGGGTCCCAACCCTTATTTTAGTATAAATGGTAGCCCTTGGGCCAAGGATACCCTGTGACAAATTCGGTACTGATTGGCCAAGGGGTTCTTGAGTTATGGCCCATATTCTAAAAAGTTTACGCACACCGCACAAATGTCCATAGCATTAGCTCTTTGAGCCTTTGGCTCAGAAGAGCTAAAAATCTTCTTCTCAATATCTATTATGTACATAAAGAAATGCATGCCCAGTATATTTTTTAGTCTAATCATTGTATGAGATGACATATTTTAATGTTCAAGATACTGAGGTCAAAAGTGTGTATTTTTTTCCATTTCCAGGGCACAAGTCAATGATTCTTCTTGACTTTGTCATTCTTTGTTTCTCTTACAAATAAAACTTATTCTGCATGACTAGTTTTCACCTTGAACTGTTTCTACATGACTGTCCCTTTCTGCATGGCTAGTTTTCATGCTCACCTCTTTCTGCTTGACTGGCTTGACCCCTACAGATGAACCAATCCTCAGCATCAGTGCTCCCATCAGAGTGTGATAAGCCTTCAACACTTGCTCCTCTGTTTCTTCACAGTCAAATATTATCTTCAGAGCACAAGTCACCTAAAAAAAGATCAACAGAGTTACCGAGGTACAGACTTCTTTACTGGATGAAATCTGTTTACAATGTTCTGACACCCTGGCCCAGTTTATTTCTTTGAACTGTTTCTTACTTATTCATTTCAGATGCCATTTAGCATTTCACATCACTGAATTTTGCTTTCAGCTTTGAAATTCTAAATTTTCCAGCTTTAAAATCACTATTATAAATTCACCCACACATATGATTTTACACTTTCTAGCAAAAAAGCATTTTCTTACTTCAATGTTTATTTAAAACCAGAAGTCTCTGTCGAGACTGAAGCTCTACTGGTTTGTACTTATAGCAAAGGAAAAGAAAAGTTCTTAAGCAGTTGGGAATTGAAACTTTACCACAGCAATAAAAAGAATAATGATCCTTGATTAAGTCTGTTTATGTTCTTAGTATAGTCTATTTGCATGCCACATTATATTATAATCAGACTTAATCTGCAGGAGGAGTAGCATTTTGGAAGAATTTCATAGAAATTTCTATTTTTAGTAACCACGGCAACATCGTTCATCGAAATCAAAAACCGATATACAGAATTATGTATCTTAGTGTAGTCTACTTGTGTGCCAAGTTATATTGAAATCAGACCAAAACTGTAGGAGGAATAGCATTTTGAAAGAATTTCACAGAAATTTCTATTTTTAGTAACCACGGCAACACCGTTCATCGAAATCAAAAACTGATATACAGAATCATGTATCTTAGTGTAGTCTACTTGTATGCCAAGTTATATTGAAATCAGACCAAAACTGTAGGAGGAGTAGCATTTTGAAAGAATTTCATAGAAATTTCTATTTTTAGTAACCACGGCAACATCGTTCATCGAAATCAAAAACCGATACACAGAATTATGTATCTTAGTGTAGTCTACTTGTGTGCTAAGTTATATTGAAATCAGACCAAAAATGTAGAAGGAGTAGTATTTTGAAATAATTTCACAGAAATTTCTATTTTTAGTAACCACGGCAACACCGTTCATCGAAATCAAAAACCGATACACAGAATTATGTATCTTAGTGAAGTCTACTTGTGTGCCAAGTTATATTGAAATCAGACCAAAACTGTAGGAGGAGTAGCATTTTGAAAGAATTTCACTGAAATTTCTATTTTTAGTAACCACGGCAACACCGTTCATCGAAATCAAAAACTGATACACAGAATTATGTATCTTAGTGTAGTCTACTTGTATGCCAAGTTATATTGAAATCAGACCAAAACTGTAGGAGGAGTAGCATTTTGAAAGAATTTCACTGAAATTTCTATTTTTAGTAACCACGGCAACACCGTTCATCGAAATCAAAAACTGATACACAGAATTATGTATCTAAGTGTAGTCTACTTGTATGCCAAGTTATATTGAAATCAGACCAAAACTGTAGGAGGAGTAGCATTTTGAAAGAATTTCACTGAAATTTCTATTTTTAGTAACCACGGCAACACCGTTCATCGAAATCAAAAACTGATACACAGAATTATGTATCTAAGTGTAGTCTACTTGTATGCCAAGTTATATTGAAATCAGACCAAAACTGTAGGAGGAGTAGCATTTTGAAAGAATTTCATAGAAATTTCTATTTTTAGTAACCACGGCAACACCGTTCATCGAAATCAAAAACCGATACACAGAATTATGTATCTTAGTGTAGTCTACTTGTGTGCCAAGTTATATTGAAATCAGACCAAAACTGTAGGAGGAGTAGCATTTTGAAACAATTTTACAGAAATTTCTATTTTTAGTAACCACGGCAACATCGTTCATCGAAATCAAAAACCGATATACAGAATTATGTATCTTAGTGTATTCTACTTGTGTGCCAAGTTATACTGAAATCAGACCAAAACTGTAGGAGGAGTAGCATTTTGAAAGAATTTCACAGAAATTTCTATTTTTAGTAACCACGGCAACACCGTTCATCGAAATCAAAAACCGATACACAGAGTTATGTATCTTAGTGTATTCTACTTGTTTGCCAACTTATACTGAAATCAGATCAAAACTGTAGGAGGAGTAGCATTTTGAAAGAATTTCACGGAAATTTCTATTTTTAGTAACCACGGCAACACCCTTCATTGAAATCAAAAACCGATACACAGAATTATGTATCTTACTGTAGTCTACTTGTGTGCCAAGTTATACTGAAATCAGACCAAAACTGTAGGAGGAGTAGCATTTTGAAAGAATTTCACAGAAATTTCTATTTTTAGTAACCACGGCAACACCGTTCATCGAAATCAAAAACCGATACACAGAATTATGTATCTTAGTGTAGTCTACTTGTGTGCTAAGTTATATTGAAATTAGACCAAAACTGTAGGAGGAGTAGCATTTTGAAAAATTGTTTACAGACAGACGGACAGACAGACGGACAGACGGACGGACGCCGGACGCATTACTATCGCATAAGCTCTTCTGGTCTCTGACCAGTAGAGCTAAAAATGTACATAACCACAAAATCCAACATAGGTAAACTAGTGGTCTAACATACTCACTGCCATAGGTAAACTGGTGGCTGTCCTCGTTACTTCCTCTTCATTCTGTCTCTCTTCGTACGGCAGACTCTTGTGAAGCTTTTCCAGCATGTGGTCAATCATGGCTGTGGTAAGCTGGGGGTCCTGGGAGAGGGTCTGCCAAATCTCTACCATGTCACTACAAAAGTACACAGTACAAG